CATTATCATCGCCATCAGTCATTTTTATCATCATCATCAGTTTTCATCATTGATCATCACCATCAGTCAGTTTTCATTATCATTATTATTGTCATAATCAGTTTCTTCAGTTTCATCATCATAGTTTTCATCATCATTGTAGTCAGTTTTCATCATCATCATAATGATCATCTTCACAGTCACTATCATCAGTTTTCATCAACATCAAAGTCAGTATTCATCATCATAGTTACTATCATCATCATACTCCGTTTTCACCATCATCACACCATCACCATAATCATCATCATCAGTTTTCATCAACATAGTCTTCATCATCAGTTTTCTACATCACCGTAGTCATTTTTAATCATCATAGGTTTCATCATCATCATAATCATCATCATCTTCACAGTCACTACCATCATCAGTTTCAGCAGCAGCAGCATCCTAGCCAGTTTTCATCATCATATTCACTGTCATCATAATCAGTTTTCTTCATCATCATCATAGTTTTCTACATCATCCTAGTCAGTTTCCATCATTATCATTCACTATAATCATCACCACCATCATCTTCACAATCACTACCATCACCAGTTTTCATCATGATCAGTTTTCATCACCATTAATTTTCATCACCACCATCATGATAGTTTTCATCATCATCTTCGTCATCAGTTTTCATCATATACTCAGCATTCATCATTGTCTTCATCATTTTCATCATCATAGTTTTTATCATCATAATCATCTTCACAATCACTATCATCATTATGACTTTCACCATCCTCATCATACTCAGTTTTCATCATCATCATAATCATCATGTTTTCATCACCATCATCATGATACTTTTCATCATCATCATCAGTTTTCATCATCATCGTCTTCATCTTCACAATCACTGTCATCAACATCACAGTCACTTTTCATCATCATCAACATGGTTATAATTTCTTCATCATCAATTTTCATCATCATAGTTCTCACCATCATCAGTCAGTTTTCATCATCATCATCATTTTTCATCACCATCATCATGATAGTTTTTTTCATCATCATCATTGGTTTTCATTATCATCATAGTTTTATTGTCATCATATCATCATCATCATAGTTTTTGTCATCATAGCATCGTCTTCATCATCAGTTTTCATCATCATAGTCATTCCATCATAACCATCTTCACAATCACTACCACCATCAGTTTCGCCATCCTCATCATACTCAGTTTTCACCATTATCATAATCATTTTCGTCATCATCAGTTTTCATCACCATCATCATGATAGTCAGTTTTCATCATCATCATAGGTTTCATCATTATTATCATCAGTTTTCATCATCATTGTCATCATCTTCACAATCACTCTCATTAAGATCATAGTCACTTATTATCATCATATTTACAATTTCTTCATCAGTTTTCATCATCATCATAATCATTATCATAACCATTCACTTTTCATAATCAACATCCAAGTCAGTTATCATTATCATCGTAGTTATCATCATAATCAATTTCTTCATCATCATAGTTTTTACCATTATCATTGTACTCAATTTCCACCATCATCACACCATCACAATAATCATCAACAGTTTTCATCATCATCAACACAGTCTTCATCATCAGTTTTCTACATCATCATGGTCACTTTTAGTCATCATAGTCAGATTTCATCATCATCATCACAGTCATTGTCATCACTATCATCACAATCATTGCCATCATCAGTTTGCATCATCATCATATTCACTGTCATCATAATCAGTTTTCATCATCATCGCTGTCAGTCATTTTTATCATCATCATGTTTTCATCATTGATCATCATCACCACCATACTCAGTTTTCATCATCAACATCATAGTAAGTATTCATCAACATCATAGTTACTGTCATCATCACCATACTGTTTTCACCATCATCACACCATCACCATAATCATCATCATTATCATTTTTCATCAACATCATAGTTTTCATCATCATCATAGTCTTCATCATCACTTTTCTACATCATCATAGTATTAATCATCATCATCATAATTATGATCATCATAATCATTATCAACATCATCTTCACAATCACTGCCATCATCATTATCAGTTTCAGCAGCAGCAGCATCCTAGCCAGTTTTCATCATCATAATCACTGTCATCACAATCAGTTTTCATAATCATCATCATCGTTTTCTACATCATCCTAGTCAGTTTTCATCATTATCATTATAAACACCATCTTCACAATCACTATCATCACCATCATAGTCATCATCACCATACTCAGTTTTTACCATCATAATCATCTTCTTCACAATCATCAAGTTTTCATCGCCATCATCATTTTTCATCACCATCATCATGAGTCAATTTTCATCATCATCATCATCGCCTTCATCATCAGTCTTCATCATGATCATCATAGTATTCATCATCTTCAGCATTTTCATCATCATCATCATCTTTTATCTTCATCATCTGATCATCAATAGTTTTTGTCATCATAGCATCGTCTTCATCATCAGTTTTCATCACCATCACAGTCATTATCATAATTATCTTCACAGTCACTATCATCATCATGTTTCACCATCATCATCATACTGTTTTCACCATAATCATAATCATTATCATGTTTTCATCACCACCATGATAGTTATCATCATCATCATAGGTTTATTCATTATCATCAGTTTTCATCATTATTGTCATCATCTTCACAATCACTGTCAACATCACAGTCACTTTTCATCATCATCATCATAGTTGTAGTTTCTTCATCATCAGTTTTCATCATCATCATAGTTTTCACCATCATCATCATAGTCAGTTTTCATCATCATAATTATCATAATAATAATCACTTTTTATCAACATCCAAGTCAGTTACCATCATCATAGTTATCACCATCATAATCAATTTCTCCATTACCATAGTTTTTACCATCATCATCATACTGTTTTCACCATCATCACACCATCACCTTAATCATCTTCATTAGTTTCCATTATCATCATCATCACAGTCTTCATCATCAGTTTTCTACATCATCGTAGTCAGTTTTAATCATCATCACAGTCAGGTTTCATCATCATAGTCATCCTTATCAGTTTGCATCATCATCATCATCATCATCCTAGCCAGTTTTCATCATCATAGTCACTGACATCATCATCAGTTTTCACCATCATCGCACCATCACCATAATCATCATCATCAGTTTTCTACATCATCATAGTCACTTTTAATCATCATCATCATAGTCATTATCATCATCGTCACAATCACTGCCATGACCACTTTGCATCATCATCACCATCCTATCCCGTTTTCATCATCATATTCACTTTCATCATAATCAGTTTTCTTCATCACCATCAGTCATTTTTATCATCATCAATTTTCATCATTGATCATCACACCGTCAGTTTTCATTGTCATTATTATCGTCATATTTTCCTCATTTTCATCATCATAGTTTTTATCATCATTATAGTCAGTTTTCATCATCATCATCGTCATCATAATGACTATCGTCTTCTCAGTCCCTATCACCATTGTCAGTTTTCATCATCAACATCATTGTATTCATCATCATCATAGTTACTATCATCATCATAATCAATTTCTTCATCAGTTTTCATTGTCATAGTTTTCATCATCATATTATCAGTTATCACCGTCATCATGATCTTCATATTCACCTTTCACCATCATAATCATCATCATCATAATTACTATCATCAGTTTTCACATCGTCATCATAGTTATATCATCATCATCCTAGTCTTCAACATTGGGTTTCTACATCATCATAGTTTTCATCATCATCATCATCATCATCCTGTTTTCATCGTCATCCTCATAATCAAGTTTCTTCATCATCATAGTCAGTCATTATCATCACCATGTTTTCATCATCATAATTATCATCTTCACAATCACTGTCATCATTATTTCCACCATCATCATCATAGTTTTCATCATATTCACTGTTATCATAATTACCAGGTTCCATTGATCATCATCAACATCATCATAGTCAGTTTTCATCATCATCATGATTTGTCAGCATTGTCATCATCATCATAGTCATTGTCTTCATCATCAATCCTGTAATCACTGTCATCATCACAATCATCATTAGTCACTGTCTTCTTCATCATAATCATAGATTGTCATCATCATCATAGTCATTGTCTTCATCATCAATCCTGTAATCACTGTCATCATCACAATCATCATTAGTCACTGTCTTCTTCATCATAATCATAGATTGTCATCATCATCATAGTCATTGTCTTATCATCAACACCATTTCATTATCACCATCATCATCATAATCACTCTATTCATCATCATCACTCATTATCATCACCATCATCGTCATAGTCATTTGCATCATCAGCACCATCATCATAATCATTGTCATCATCATAGTCATTATCATCACCATCGTCACCATCATCACCACAGTCATTATCACCATCACCAACATCACCAGTCATTGTCTTCATTATCACCATCATCATCATAGTCATTATCATCACCATCATCTTCATCCATCACCACTGTCATCATCACTATCATCATCATAGTCATTATCTTCATTGACATCATCACATTCATTGTCTTCATCATCATCATTTTAGTCATTCTGCATCATCACACCCATTGTCTTCATCATTATATTGTCTTCATCATTATCATCATCATTCAAAGTCATTATCATCCTCATCACCATCACTGGAGTCATCATAATCATAATTGTCTTCATCATCATCATGATCACAGTCATTATCATACTCACCATCATTATCACCAGCATCACCAGAGTCATTTTCATCATCATTGCCATCACTGCTGTAGTCAGTATCATTACCATAATCATCGTCATCATGGTCATTGTCTTCATCATTGTCATCATATCATCATCATTATCACTATCACCATCATCAAACTATAATCATCTTAGTCATTATCATCACCATCCTCATCATTGTCTTCTTCATCATCAGTCACTGTCCTCATAATCATCATCATCATAGTCATTTTCCTCACCATCATTGTCTTCATCTTCATCGTCATTATCTTCCGAGTCACTGTCATCATCATCACCATCATCATAGTCGTTGTCTTCATCATCACATCATTTTGTTCATCCCTTTTACTTGTCCACTGACCCATGCATAGTTCACTCCTAGCCACTCAGAACTAACTCATTCAATGTTGCTTCTGTGAGTTTTGTTCCAACTCTTCAACATAAAACAGCTCTCCTGTGACTGTGTAGCACATCTTTTGCTTCCTGCACAGTAATTTACTGTCCTCAGGGTCAGTTTGCTGGGGAGGATAAGCTGTATTCTCCTGCGAAGAACAATGCATGTACATGAGTGCACACTCAGGATTTGGTGAATGGACATATGAAGAAGTTGTGTTGGAATCTGTGGTATCAATGGAAAGACATGTTATTACTACACAGAAGATGTCCTGTGGTCTGAACACAACTCCCTCCTGAGACTACTTTATGAGGATCCTGGAAGTGAAACCCAGATTCCAAAATGCACGCCCGCTCTCAAGTGGCTCCGTGCAAAGGAAAACAGAGTATTCCTTCATTGTCTTATTAGCCATAACTCAGTCCATGGCTCCCACCATATGACCAGAGAAGCTTGGAACTGTTGACTTTCTGGGTGCTCAGGAATGGGGAATCTTGATAAATACAGTAGCACTGCCTCAGCTAGAGTGGAAGGAGGGGATAATTTCTCTTTTGAGAGACCATGGGAGCCAAAGGCAATACACAAAGGCATAGTTAAGAACATGCCAGCAGGATGACATCCGGCTACAGAGGTCATAGGACTACTAAAATACTACTAAAGGGGAGCTCTGTGGTTGACATTTTGATGGAATTTTATTGCTAAGGGAGTGTGAGGGACAGGCGAATAGTTGCAGTACCATCTCTGACTCTAAGTTTTCTGGCACATTCCTATCATCTGCATTTCCTACCCAGTCTTTGCTGCCTGCCCTTTGTGGAGGGAACTGCACAAGCATTTCAGTCACCTGTAGCCCCTCTTAATGCAGTTAGGACTTGAGGTCAAGGTCCTCCTCAGTTTCCCTCCAGCAGATTCTATTCTTCCAACCAGGTTCACATTGCCTTCAAATGTGTCCAACTTGATACTAGGCCAAGGAGGTGCCTGGGATATAAGGTTCATAAGGCTGCATATCAATGAATGCCAAAGGGGCTTTTACACAGCACTAATCAGAGCAGGTCTACAGCAAGTGCCTCAGTCTACTCTGAGGATCACTACAAACAGTCACAACAGCAAGCCTTCCTAAGTCTGTCTGTCTTTCTGTCAGTTGGTCACATCCTGGGGCATTATTGGCCTAGGTATACAAGGCTGGTCAGAAATGCAAAGGCAGGTGAAGCCCCAAGATAGCCTCAACCCAGGAGAGGGGTTGTGAATGAAAACTCCCTTAGGCATCCTGAGATTTCCACACAGCACCCCTGGGCAAAGTTCAAGTGCCTGTAAAAGATGCCCAGATAATAGTGCTCTCCATCAGTAGGGTCACTTTGTGGTTGTACCATCCAAGCAGCTGTGCAAAGTTCACACCTGACTTCACGCTCTGCTGTCACTGTTTGAAACTTTCAGTCACTGTGAACAAGGGCCCTGAACTTTCTGTTTTCACTGGGTCCTGATGATTATGTAGTTAGCTATTTATCAGTATACTCCCTTTTTGTGAGGTTATCAGGGTGATCTCAGGTAACTGTTTGTATCCCAATCTCTGTCCAGGGGATGCACTCAGGAAACTCAAATTCAGACATCAGAAAACACTTATCCTCCTTCACTATACATCTCCCCATCTCCTTCTATCTTGGATATATTAACAAGGGATCCCAGCAGAGTTAAGTTCTTTGACTCAGTCTTTTCCTCCTCCGAAGTCTAGCTTGGATTAATGGTTAAAGAGACAATATGTGCTAGGAAAAAATTCAATAGAATGGTCTTTTGAAAGAGGCTTTCCACTGCAGGGCCTTTAAACTTACCTCCCTCTAATTATCTTTATGCATATTATAACAATATATTACAAAGAGAGGCACACGTGTGGACTTCTATGTAAATAGAGCTAGGATCCTCCCAATAGGGGCTCAGCTTCGTGACTTGCCACAGATTTCCTCTAACCCCAGACTCTTCATAGATACTGGAAGTGTTTGTCACTCATCACAGTCACCACATCTATCCTTTTAGAAATCCCTCTAGTTCAAAGTGAAACTGTACCTTCCTTTTTTTCTCTTAGTTTTATTTTAGTATACTTTATAGATAAAACTATATTTAAGGTACATTATGTGATTATGCATACAAATATGTAGAAATAATTATAAAAAGACAGCGCATGCAAAATTAATTCCTAAACCGCTTAGCGTGTCACTGCGCTCTGTTAGGAGCTATAATTGCCCATTTGATTCTACTTAACTGTAGGATCTCAAAGGAAAGGACTTTTATCTTTTGGACATTCTATAGTTGGAAAAATTCTATTAAATATCCAGTATTAGACCATTTCCTGAGCTAGCGTTCAATTATTAATTTGAGATGATGAGACTACATAAAATCTTTGTGGAAAAAGAAAAATGGAGCTAGTCAACGCTTTTCCTGCCCTTGGAAAATGTCCTGTGCCAGATGTGCATCCATTACATTATAGTTAATATTCATTTACTATTTTAAATCATTGATTCTACTGAACCTCACATGTATCTGTCAGACACCTGCTACAGGTTCAATATCGATTAAACATTATGAAGGTACAGATGCATCAAAAGTAAAATTCCAAACCTCAAATTGTTGTAAATCTGTCTGGGAAAGCAATTTACTTATACTTGAAAATTGTGGTCACATCAAAAATATATATATAAAGAATATATGCTGAAGTAAAACAATTAGCTATTCCCTGGAGGCCCCATTCACACTCTTGCTTTACTTCCTCGTCCTTTTGGAATGTTCTTTCCCTCAGATACGGAAAGGCCTCACTTGCTCAACGCATTCAAGTCTCTGCTAGAATGTTCTGTATCAATGGAGCCTTCTTAGACATACTACCAGCAGCCTCCCTTCCACCTGCTGTCCCCTGTATCCCTTTTCCCTCCATTCATTCTGTCCCAGGACCTGCCAGTGCTAACTATGCTGTCTTCCCTCTCTATGGTGGAAGGCAAGCTCTGGGAGAGTGGGAACTTGTCTGTTCATCCTTTGGCCCTCTCACCTGGAAGACTGCTGGCTCACAGCAGACATTCAAGTGTAGTTCTTGAGTTAATGTTTGGGGAATGAATCCTTCAATGCCATTTCGTAGTCTGACGTCATGTGAATTAAGACCTCTTCCAAGAAATACTGTAGCTCCCATGTAAAACTGTGAAGTTCCCAGGAAACACAAGTCCCCTCTCCCAACATCAGCTCAGCCTTGTGAGTCATGCCACCAGGCTGCACCACCGTTTGATGATTGACAAGTCTGTCCCAAGAAAGCAATGAATTTTGTGTGAATGTAAACAGAGGCAAATGTGTACATCTGTGACCAACTGACAAAGACACTAAGTGAACATGTTCTAACTTTGAACATCTATACCTAGGCTGGTACTAATATTAAATATTCAAACAATTGGAGCAAATAAATTTCCTATGTATCTGAACCCTGATTTCTAAAGACAGACCCTTGTTCAGTGCGGCTTATAAAAAAAGAGGAACAAAAGCAATCAGACAACACTCTGATCTGCCCATTGTCAGTCAACTGCTATGTGATCAGAAACTGCCCTCTCCCTGGTTGTGTTTCCCATGTTCTGTGTGTGTTTCAGGCTTTGTAACTTAGAGCCCTCAGATTGGAGTTGGAGTATGATAAGATAGCCTCAGAAGTTTGTGTCTAGAAAATCCCCTGGGAACAGAGGCATGCATTTGCCATTGACCCTGAATGTGACCATAAAGGGTCAGGGAACTGTCACTAGAATAGAAGGGAAGTGACTTTGGGATGAGGACCTTTTTTCCCTTGCTCACTCTTCAATGCCTGGAGTCTTAAGTGCATCGTGTCTTCCCAGAACTCCTTTGGATTTGCTATCTGCACTGCACCATACACCAACTCTGGTCTTCACCTTGTATGGTTTGCTGCCTAATGTGTGAGCCACATCCCAAGTCTGGAGTTTAGACCCTGTGTTGGGACTGAGCATGCAAGGACCTCTCCTTTGTTGCCTGGAGGAGTTAGTGCCTGGTCCACAGTGTGACAGCAACTCTGTCTCAGTCCCTGAGAGGCAACTGTAATTTCCCCATTCTACAATGACAAAAAGAATCCAGAGCAATTTAGTAGTCAGCACTGAGCCCATGGACACACTGACGCAGTTTCTATTCTTAGTGCATTCTCTGTTCACCTAAGTAAACCAGTCTCCATGACATGGCAACCTCTACCTAAAATACCAACAAGTGAATGCTTTTATCCATTTCATTAAATATTAAAATAACTCCACTTCAATAAGAAGGCATTCAAACCAAAAGAAAACAGTGTTCCAGAAAGCCTCCTCTTCCTGAGATGGAGGAAGCGGCCAATTTTCCCTTAAGAAACTAGCAACATACCCTACAGACAGATCTGTACTCGTAATGAGGAAACCGATTTTCATCTCTGTGGTTGTCTGTTTCCCTCTGGCCCACACTTCTGATCGTGGCAAGCTATTCAGCCAATCACAGCACATCCATCTGGAAAGAGGGCAACTGCACTGTCATCTGGAATGAAAACACCAAGATGAAGAGAGTGGTCAGGTCAGGACCATGCTCTCTCTACTTCCTTGATATGAACCAGGCTCTGGGAGGACACTTCCAAGGTGTGCCTAATTCCTCCTTATTCCGAGTTTACCTTATTGCATAATTTTTTCATGTACCTCTACAAAGCTTTAGCTGGTTTTAGAAAGGAAACATTAACCATGAAATATTTTATATGATGTGAAAATACCCCCTCCCCAGTCTTTACCTCAGCCCCTGGGTACACGGCAAATTTTATGAACATGAGGCAAGTGCTCAATTTAAAGAGGACGGTGAGCATTAAAGCAGATTGTTTTATGTCTCGGACATGAATACTCTGGGCGGATGAACTATCAAGGCCTGGGTTTAAGTGTGATTAATGCCTAGTCCTTGGAAAGTATCCAGACTTATTAAATCTGATGGAGTAAAACAGCATAACTTTCTCGTATTATTTCCAAGTGATGTGATTAGCCTGGGCATAGCAGTGAATGAAACTGCAGGAGGCAGTGCCATGTGGGGGAGGGGAGCACCACTGTATTTACAAAGAGTTAGACAGAGTGGAGCATATTTAGCAAGTACAGGCAGAGTTCAATCACTTCCACCCAAGGAGAGGAGTAAAGGCCAGGAGCAGTCAACCCAACCTTCCTGTATGTTCTGTGACTTAGTCCACACCCTAACAGCAGACCTATTGAGATGAAGAGAATTTGATAAAAGTTCACTCCTCCCACCTGAAATGAATAATCTATGCCTTCATGCACCTCACAGGCACACACACATACCTGTCACTTTATATGCTGGTGTTTCCCAGGAGCAGCAGGGATGTCTCCATGCATCTCACATGTACATACACCTTTCACTTTGTGTGCTGGCATGTCCTACAAGCAGGGGGGAGCTGTTTGGTGCCCCCCTTGCCACACAGCAGGATTAGTATTCTGGCATGGGTCACTCCAACCACTAGTTACTGAGGGATGTGATAGTTCAAGAATGGCGTCGTTTCACCTTTCCTAACAAGTTGTGGGTCTCCAGGGTATGTGGTTCAGGAACTGTGCACATTCTTAATAAATTCCCTCAGTTCACTCTGAACATACAAAATTTCCAAGGTATCAAACCCACAAGAGAGAATTTCAGGAAGAAACGAATGAAATCCCCATGTCCAACAAAGAAGTCTCATGCTGGGAGGAAGCAATGTCCCCTTGCTGCCATGAAGAGATCAGAGTGCCACTGGCCACTGGGAGACACAGCCTGAGACCAGCATTTTCTGTATACTCTGCCACAACTTTAAACTCTATAGAGATCCAGACACTTGGATGGCTTAGATTGAGGGTTTTTCTGTAAGAAACAGAAGCATAACAAAAACACTTGCAATATCTGAGCCCAACCTAGTCAATGACAAATCCCAAGCAAACCTGAGCATGGAGAGGGAGGATACCCCACCCCCATGCAGTCTCTGAGCTGATAAAAGAATAACAAATACAAAAATCTGCCAAACAACAAAGCTTCAATTTATTATACATGCTCATCATTTTAACCCAAAACCCTTAAAAGCCTGAGGCTGATCCAGCCCCTTTAATACCGGTCCTGAGCACGCCCGGATCAAGGCCCAACCCAGCCTGCTTTGTCTGTGAAGATGAAAGCCAGGCGAAAACAGGTGAAGGCTTTTTTGAATCATCACCTGCAATTAAGCAAAGTTAAACCAAGAAGTAAGCTGAACTCGCTTTACAAAGACACCCCCACAGCAGGTGGATGCTTACGTGGATTGCCTGGTGTCTGCCTACAGACACAGTCACCAAAGAGTGAGCCTTTGCTGGATCCAGGACTGAACACGACAGATGGCTGTGAGAAAAAGTGCAGGAACATATGCACATAGACAGACACACGGATCATACACAGAAGCATACACATATGCACACCCAGAGGTAGAGTCAACACACAGAAATACACATGTACACACCCCTACATACACAGAAGTTCAAACAGACTAGACACAAATGCACAGGCATACACACAGAGCAGACAAAGAAATGCAGAAACACAAACTCGGATGTACATAGTGAGATGCATGCAGGCAAAGTTACAAACACAGGCACAACACAGAGTAATACGCAAAGAAATGAACCAATGTATACAGACTAGACACAAACATACAGGAGCATATAGACCAGACACAGACGCAGAGATCCACATCCAGATGCACACACAGAAATACAAATTGGCAAACACAGTTGCAGAGACATTAACACAGAGAAATACACCCAAACCTAAACAGAGAAGTACAAACAGACTAGACACAAATACACAGATATACACACAGACACAGAAAAACACACAAATACCCAGATACACACACAGAGATCTACCCAAGCACACAGTTGCACACACAAAGATGTGCACAGATACACAGAGATACAAACACACAGATACACAGAGGGTAAGTACCCAGAGACACACACCACGTTGTGTACATCTTGTCTATGTCTATTCTTTACCTATACTTTTTTTTTTTTGATCTTTTTGAGACAGGGTCTCCCTGTAGCCCCAGCTGTCCTGGAACTCACTATGTAGACCAGGCTGGCCTCGAACTCCCAAAGATCCGCCTGCCTCTGCCTCCCGAGTGCTGGGATTAAAGGCGTGCGCCACCACGCCCAGCTTTACCTACACTTTTTAATGTTTGCCTTTTTGCATTCTTTTGGAAACACTGTCTGAAGCACAAGTTTGCATAAGCCATGACTGTATAAAAACACTGCAACCTTTCTTTTCTGCTCTTCTCCAATGAGCCCCAATCTAGTAACCATTAAGTCTTTTCAAAAGGCAAAGAGTACGCCAGAGCAGAGCATTAGGAGTGGCCTGATTCAAGGGAGTGAGGCTTGCACAGTGGAGCCCCTAACTCTAAAAGAACACTGAGACTGGAATGAGGCAGTCACACGCTGTGCCACACCACCATCTTGCCATGCTGCAGTTCCAGTAGAGAAGCCCAGCTGGTTGAAGGTGTCTGGGGCTCATATCTGTGGAGGAGCTGTCTTCTGAGACATGCATCCATTCCAACTATCTTTCTCCTACCCATACCCCCCGCTGCTTCCACAGAAATAGCTCCAACCAGCATCTGCCTGCCCATCAGTAGTGTGGACAATGGGCTCCTCACCCAGAGGTGTGCAGAGTTTTCTGTAGAAAGAAACTTGCCATTGAAGCAGGTTTCAAGTCTGTCTATGTGGGGCCACTGGGACACCTCAGTAGACAGTCCCCCAGCTTTGACTTCAGAAATGCCAAGTGCATCACAAGGAGTTGAACAAGGCACCCACATACCACATCCCACCACCATCTCATCATTTTCCAGCTTCTGGTAACAAAGCCCAATGGCTCAAAGGTATCTGGGGCTCACATCTGTGGACACACCAGTAGAAAGTCCCCCATAAGATCTGACTTCAGAGACTCCAAGAGTGCATCTCAATAAACAAACAACAAGGTTTAAGGGTGACTTCCATGACAATGATCTCAAACTTAATCTCCTAACGATGGTTTTGGAAGAGATGGGCGATCATGAGCCACTTGTTTCAGATCTGTTCAGACCTAAAATTCCAGGCATGACCTTCAGCTTGCAAGTAAGTAGGCAGGATCAAGGTTAGCTTGATTTCTGTCCCAGGGCAGCTAATCGTGCTGACAATACATGAGACTGACAGAGAAGAGCTGGGGATTTGGGACCCTGGGAAGAATCTGCAAGATATAAAGTAGCAGTTGCTCTTCTACTGTGGCTTTATTTTCTAGTCTCACAGCCAAGGAAAAAACAGAGGGCAGTAGGCATGCAACCATAGCCTCACACTGCTCTTGGGCTGCTTCCCCAGAAGGTAGGCAGGTAAACCTTAGGAGTAGTTCCCTTCTATCTCTTGGGAAGCCATCGGGCACACTGGATCTCTGCTCTTTCTTGTCCCTTTTTATGTTCCCTACCAGACCAGCACATTCTGTCCTGCCCCATAGGTATGACCCTTCCAATTCAAATTGTATTAGATTAAATAAACCTGGATCTCCCGGCCATAGTTGCCTCTCCTGGGCAGAAGCCTGTGGGTCCCGAGACTCCTAAGCTACCAGGATCACATAGGTCCTTGCCAACCATGAGGTTTTATGAAGCTTGTAAATTTTACACGCTAGTCATACAGTTTTCATTTTATCAAGATTTGGGGATGAAACAATGTTAGGGCCTAATTTGTTTCTTCATGGTATGCTAATTTTGAAACTTCAAGTAGCTGATTTCATTTGTCTGTTGTCATTCCTGGCAATATCAATACATATATTGTCATCACGCTAAACCCCTCCTCAGCAGCAGCTGCAGGTGCTGCCTGGCATCTGCTTATTGCTCTTCTAAGTAATTATATTTTCCCTATAAGTACATTTACAAATGTCAGCACCAAAGCCAAGGGAAAGCCCAACTCTGGCTGTGCCCAAACAACACTGATCCTTCCATCTGTCGCTAAGAAATGGGAAGCTGAGGCATGTGGTTCACTGACCTCAGCCTCAACTGCCAATCTCTGAAGCAGGGGGGCTTAATAAAGATGGGTGTTTCCTTTTGGCATTGACAGTTATGGTTTAGAAGACAGAGTTCACTTTCTCCAATAATTCTCAGGAGAGCCCAGGTCAGAGCCCAGACCTTCAGATCCCCGACATTCATGAACAGGGGTAATATGCCTGGACTTGAAAGGAGCCTGCAGAAATGGCAGGACTAAGACCCAAAGACCACCTTTCTCCTCCTCCCAGCACCTGACATGCCATGTCTTCTGCAGCCATAGATGCCAAGTACATGCACAGCTGGAACTGCTGGTCTCAGACTTTCTGAAACCATTCTCCAGCAGCAAGTTTCTATGAAATTACTAACTGAAGGTGAGGGTTTGAGGTATTAGCTGCTAGATACAGGAGTCCAAACCACATTCCAAATTCAGCAAAGAAACAATCAAGTAACATTCCAGTTGAATCTGAATTCTAGGTCAACA